CCTATCCGTCCGTACGAGCGCTTGTACCGCTCACTGCACGCACCGTACCGTACCGACGCGCCTTATAGACGCAACCCGCGACACCGCCTTCGGGGCCGAACTCTTGTATCTCAGTAAGCATAAAATAAAGCTAAGTTATTTCGATTGCCATTATCAAGTTGTAACGGCCGAACTCCGCGGTTCGGTCGCTGCTACGCGTTTCGCGCGGATAAGGCTCGTCGGAGTCCGGGTTCGGTGAGGAGGAAAGCAGCGAGACGTTCGTGAGTAATATAAGTACGTTAGCTGTATTCTATATTTAATTTGATACAAGAGTTCGGCCCCGAAGGCGATGTCGCGGGTTGCGTTTGTAAGGCGCGTCGGTACGGTACGGTGCGGTGCGGTGAGCGGTGCGAGCGCTCGTACGAACGGATAGGCCGTGCGGAAGGCGGGGCCTATTACGCGACGCGTGTAGATCGGAACGACGGTAACGGCGCGGTGATCGGTCTCGCTTCGCGACGTTGGGCGTCTCGGACAATTATCGCCCAATACTCGCTTCGGATTTGCTCGCGTAAAAATGGTCGCCGGACCGGAGATTTCGATTCTCGGTCGAACGCACGCACGCGAGTCGCGGGAGACGCGAGATGATTTCGTCCGTCGGGGCCGAGGACTCTCGACAGAGAAGGCGTACGCACCTTCCCTTTTCCCTACGTTCGTGGAGGAAAGCGACCAAGTGCTGCGGACACTCAGCGGAGACGGCGAACACACCGTCCCGGGTTCCTGGTCGCTAGACGGATCGCCTGAAGGCTGAGTACGCTCAGCGGAGTTCGCCGACGGACGAACCCCTGACTCGAGGCGGCGGGTAAAGGCGAGATACTGTCGAGTACGCTCGACTGAGCACGCATACACACGAGCCCAGGAAGACGGGAGACGGCCAAGTATCGAGAACGCTCGATCGAGACTGCGGACGCACAATCCCGTGTTCTTAGTCGCCGGTCGGGTAGTCGGAAAGCGGAAGGCAGAGCGAAACGGTCCGGATATTCTCTCTTTCGGCATGAAGCGTCTAGATCGAATCGGCGGTACGGATCGGTCTGGTGTCTAGGAGCTCGATCGCCGCCGTTTTATAGTTGTTCGCGCTACGATTGATACGGCGGCGATCGAGCGGCGCGCCTATCGGCGCGAGGCATGATGACGGCGCGTGATCGCGGCCGCGCGCGCTAGCGGCAGCGCGTGATCGCCGCGGCGCGCGATAGCGGCGGCTCGTGATAGCGGCGGCGCGATCGTCTTCGCTAATTTATGGTGACGCAAAGCGCCGTTCTTCGGCCCGACAGGTGGTCGGTCGGGCCGGTAGTAACGAGGTGCATTTGCGCCTCGTTACATCACCCCCCCAGCAGAGGGGTCGTCCGGTAGGCGGCGGCTGGACCGGAGTTGGCCGTCCGCGTGAAAGCGCAGCATCCAGCGTCCCTCAGGTGTTCGGAGGCGGTATCGACGGCTAACGTGAACGGCCGCGTGGGGGACGAGCTTTTGGACCCCGGGCTCCACCTCGACGAGGACCGGCGGCGGTGGCCTCGGGCCGACCGGTCGGAGTATTTTCGGCGGTCGGACGGGGGTCGGACCCGAGGGTGGTCGCGTCGTCGGGAGGAGAGGCGTCCCTGCCGCTCGTTGCGGCGGCGGCGTCCGTTGTGGCGGTGGCGGTGGCCGTTGCGGCGGTGGTCGTTGCGGCGGCGGCGGTCGTTGCGGCGGCGGAGTCGTCGGCGGCCGGGTGGGGCGGGTGGTAGCCCTTGTTGTCGCTGCTGCTGCCAGCGTCTTGGGCTGGCGTCCTCGGCGCCCGGGTGGTGGGGGCAACGGAGCCGTAAGCAATATCGCTTTACGGCGCTGCGTCGTGTCGGACCGCTGTATCCTGGTCCCCCTTGCCGGAACTTGGGGGTTCGGTGGCCTTGGCGACGGCGGCGGTGTGCTCGCTGGTGGTAGCGGCGGTGACGTCGGCAGTGACGTCGGCGGTGACGTTGGCGGTGACGTCGGCGGTGGCGTCGCTGGTGGTGGCGACGTCGACGGCGGCGGGGCGGCCGGGGCCCTCTCCTCGTCGTCGGAGAGGGCGAGATCCGTCCACAGTACGGTGAGATCTTCGATCTCAATACCTCGGGGCTCGCTCATTCGAAAGCTATTGTGCTTGCGTTTGCGCTTGCCAAAAACTTCTCTCTTATCGCAGGGCGACAGCTCGAGAAGGTGTGAGCTTCGCTGCTCGAGGCCGTCGTTTTATACCCCGGGCCGTTGTTTCGGTTTCCCCTTCCGGGTTGTCGACCTCCGCGTCCTGTGGCTTTTCGTTATTGTTGCCTGACTTCAAATCTTGTATATGTATATTTCGCAGCCACTTGCCGTTTCTAGCGCGGAGATCGACGATTACCGGGGAGATTATCTTCCGGACTTCGTACGGCCCGGAGTATTTTGGCGCCAGCTTGGCGTTAAAGCCTCGCGCTTTATCCGATAGGGGATGCTCGCGTCGCCATACTGTCTCCCCTATCGTAGGCCGCCAGGAGCGCCGTCGCAAATTATAGTAGCGCTCCTGGCGTTGAAAAGCTCGCGCCAAATTTACACGGACGACCTCGTAAGCGTCCTCGAGCTGTCGGCGGCGACTTTCCGGTGGAGCGGCGGTACGGGTCTCCGGCCAGGAACTCAACTCCCGCCCGCTGAGCAGGAAGGCCGGCCTGTATCCCGTTGAGTCCTGGACGGCCGAGTTGTATGCGAACTGCAGCGCGGAGAGGTGGGTGTCCCACTTGCGGTGGTTTTTCCCCACAAACTGAGCGATCATGGTCTTTATTACGCGGTTTGTCCGCTCCACCGTATTACAATGCGGGGCGTAGATGGGGGTGGTGCGGTGACGGATGCCGTGAGCCCCGCAGAATCTTGCGAATTGCTCGGAATGAAATTGCTTCCCGTTATCGGATACTATTGTTTGGGGGCAGCCGTGTCGGTGCATGATGCCCTCGGTGATCGCCTGCTCCACTGCCCCCGTTGTCGCTTTCCGGAGCGGTCGCATCTCTAGCCACTTGGAGAAGCGATCCTGCATAGCGATGACCCACGCGTGGCCGCCGGTCGACCGCGGCAGAGGGCCCATCAGGTCTATGGTGGCCTGCTCCCACGGGCCCTTGACCGCGGTGGCGTGCAGAAGGCCCGCGGGTTTGACCTGTGTCGCCTTATAGGCGAGGCAGGTCTCGCAGGCCCGGACATGTCGGGCTACGTCCCGGAACATTCCGGGCCAATAATACCGGCGGGCCGCGCGGGCGATCGTCTTCGCTATCCCCAAGTGGCCGGCGGTGGGTTCGTCGTGGAGCTGGCGAAGGATTTCGGCGCGTTGCTCTCGAGGCACGCATACCTTCCACTGCTCCTCCGCCGGTGTTTCGCGGAAATCCAGCTCGTGCAGGATGTGGCGGAGGAGCTGGCCTTGCTGGATGGCGTAGTCCGGCCAGGCGGCGGGGATCTGCGGCTACCCGCGCCCTCATACGGCGGGAGCAAGAACAACCGTTTTCCGAGACGATGGCGCTTACCTCGGGTCGTCGAGACAACGCGTCGGCGACCGTGTTGAGAGCGCCTCGCCGGTATTGCACCTCGAACTCGTACTGTTGTAGTTCGAGGGCCCAGCGGGCCAGTCGCCCGATGGGTGTCTCCAGGCTGCGCAGCCACCGGAGGGCCTGGTGATCTGTGATCACCGTGAAGCGATAGCCCTCCAGGTAGTCGCGCATTCGCCTTATTCCCCAGATTACGGCGAGGCACTCCAACTCGGTCGCGCTGTAATTTTTCTCGGCGCGATTCAATGTTCGGCTCGCGTACGCGATCACGCGTTCGGCCCCCTCCAGCCGCTGCGTGAGGACGGCTCCCAGCCCCTCCGTGCTTGCGTCCGTCTGCAGCTGGAAGGGCTCCCGAAAATCGGGGCACGCGAGTACCGGTGCCGTGGTCAGCCGCTTCTTCAGTGCGGTCATCGCGGCGTCCTCGTCCGCGCCCCACCTCCACTTCACATCCTTCCGGGTGAGTCGCGTGAGCGGGGCGGCTAGCGCGGAGAAACCGGGGATGAACCGCCTGTACCACGACGCGAGCCCGAGGAACTGCCGCACCTTTCGCACGGTCGTGGGCGCTGGCCATTCCGATATCGCGCTCACTTTTTCTGGGTCGGTGCGGATACCCTCTCGGTCCACGATATGCCCCAGGTACCGCAGGCGGCCCACACAGAAACGGCACTTCTCCGTATTGAGGCGCAGTCGTGCTTCCCGGAGCCGCCGGAAGACCTCCCCGAGCCGCGTGATATCTTCCTTGAAGGTCCGGCTCACGATAATGATATCGTCTAGGTAGACGAGTACGTGGGGCTCGAGCTCAGGGCCGAGTATGCCATCCAGCAGCCGTTGGAACGTGGCGGGTGCGGAGTGCAGACCGAAGGGCATTACTCGAAACTGCATTAATCCTCGTCCCGGCACGGCAAACGCAGTCAAGGGGCGGCTCGCGGCCGACAGGGGAACCTGCCAATACCCGCTCCGCAGGTCCAGCGTGGACAGATATTTTGCCCCGCGGAGTTTGTCGAGGGTAGCGGCGACCTGCGGCAACGGGTAGGCATCAGGTTCCGAGACGCTATTCAGTTTTCGGAAGTCCACACAAAATCTTCGCGACCCATCCTTTTTCCGCACCACCACCACCGGCGAGCTCCACGCGCTGTGAGAGGGCTCGATTATGCGCTCCTGCAGCATCTTCTCGACCTCCTCGTCGATTACTCGCTGCATAGCGGGGTTCCGGGGCCGATACCGCTGCTTAATGGGGCGTGGGTCGGTCAGTCGAATGTCGTGGTACGCCCGGTCCGTCGGTCCCTGCACTTTGTCGAAGAGGCGGAATTCCCGTTTCAGAAACCGTTCCAGTCGCGTGGTCTCGTCCGGGGTTCGTGGCGTCAGTCCGTCCTCGATCGTACAGATCGACGGTTCGGTCCGTGTCGCGTGCGTCGGTGGCGGTGGCAGGGTCACCTGTAGCTTGGCCCACAAGTCCACTCCAATCAGCATGAGGCTGCCGAGCTTTGGCAGGACTCGCAGGCCGTGTCTTACGTTTCTGTCCTCCGTTTGTACGTCTGTCGTCATGGTTCCGGTCGTCTGTACGAGTGTTCCGTCAGCTAGTCGTATCGCTTCGGCTCGCCTCGACTTCCGGATCGGGGCCCCTACTTGCTGGGCAATGTCGGGGCGTATAAACGACGCCTCCGACCCGGAGTCGAGGAGCGCGTTGACGTCACGTCCGTTCAGTCGTACGGTTATATGGGGCCGCGGTGTGAATCGGACACGTTGGTTCCTCAGGGCCGAGACTCTGGGTGGCAGATCTCGGCCCGTTGGTCGTTTCCCGGCCGCGGGTGGCACTCCCGGGTCAACACGCCGCCTTTCCGCATTGCGAGCAGAATTTCTTCGGGGGGCGCTTACAGTCTACCCGAGTGTGCCCCCTTTGTTTGCACCGCCAGCAGCACTCGTCCTTGCTGTATGTGCTGGCGGTGGTCGGCACGACGCGCGGTGGTCGAGGAGGTCGGTCCACTGCAGGATCTCGCCGGCGGTCGCGTATCTGCCGCTCGATGTCTTCATGCTCTGCGGCCCGCGCACGGAGGTCCCCGATGCTCGTAACGTCGTCGATGCGAATGCCCCTCTTGTATTCTGGGTGCATATTTTCATATAGCAACTCGAGCTGCTCCTCGGGACTCCATCCCCCCGCGCGCCGCATGAGCGTTAACACGTCATTGGAGAATGCCCGGAAGGATTCTCCATCTTGTTGTACACGGCCCCGTGCTTCGCGGCGAAGTTGCGCTAGCATTTTGCGCGGGAGGTATTCCGCACGGAAGTCCCTTCGGAAATCCTCCCACGTTGCCCATGTGTGCCGGCTGAGACGGTACCACGCAAGGGCCTCGCCCCGCAGCATTTCCGGCAACCCCCGAAGGACGTGTTCCCCCGTATAGCCATAGACGTCGCTGAGTTCCTCGACCCGTTCTAAAAATTCGTGAGGACTCCGTCCGTCGAAGAAACAACCCCATTTTCTAATTTGGTTCATCGCCTTGGCTATCGGGGGCCCGGACCCCTCGGGGATTATGGACAGTTCGGGTGTCTCGTCGCGAACTTCCACTGTCCCTTCCTCGGCCTTTGCTGCGGGGGTCGCCGTCCCGTTGTCCTCTTTGAACACTTCCGGATGCCGTCGCACGAACTGACCGAGCCGCCTTCGCAATTCTTCGAATGTCCCGTCCGTGTGCAAGTCGTGACGGGACAACTGCTCGGTCAGCTCCTGTTTGGACAATTTATGCACCCATGCCATCGCGCTCGGGCCCGTAATCCCTCTTGCCGCTTTTCTCCTCCTAAGGTCCCTGTTCGGGCGCCAAATGTAACGGCCGAACTCCGCGGTTCGGTCGCTGCTACGCGTTTCGCGCGGATAAGGCTCGTCGGAGTCCGGGTTCGGTGAGGAGGAAAGCAGCGAGACGTTCGTGAGTAATATAAGTACGTTAGCTGTATTCTATATTTAATTTGATACAAGAGTTCGGCCCCGAAGGCGATGTCGCGGGTTGCGTTTGTAAGGCGCGTCGGTACGGTACGGTGCGGTGCGGTGAGCGGTGCGAGCGCTCGTACGAACGGATAGGCCGTGCGGAAGGCGGGGCCTATTACGCGACGCGTGTAGATCGGAACGACGGTAACGGCGCGGTGATCGGTCTCGCTTCGCGACGCTGGGCGTCTCGGACAATTATCGCCCAATACTCGCTTCGGATTTGCTCGCGTAAAAATGGTCGCCGGACCGGAGATTTCGATTCTCGGTCGAACGCACGCACGCGAGTCGCGGGAGACGCGAGATGATTTCGTCCGTCGGGGCCGAGGACTCTCGACAGAGAAGGCGTACGCACCTTCCCTTTTCCCTACGTTCGTGGAGGAAAGCGACCAAGTGCTGCGGATACTCAGCGGAGACGGCGAACACACCGTCCCGGGTTCCTGGTCGCTAGACGGATCGCCTGAAGGCTGAGTACGCTCAGCGGAGTTCGCCGACGGACGAACCCCTGACTCGAGGCGGCGGGTAAAGGCGAGATACTGTCGAGTACGCTCGACTGAGCACGCGTACACACGAGCCCAGGAAGACGGGAGACGGCCAAGTATCGAGAACGCTCGATCGAGACTGCGGACGCACAATCCCGTGTTCTTAGTCGCCGGTCGGGTAGTCGGAAAGCGGAAGGCAGAGCGAAACGGTCCGGATATTCTCTCTTTCGGCATGAAGCGTCTAGATCGAATCGGCGGTACGGATCGGTCTGGTGTCTAGGAGCTCGATCGCCGCCGTTTTATAGTTGTTCGCGCTACGATTGATACGGCGGCGATCGAGCGGCGCGCCTATCGGCGCGAGGCATGATGACGGCGCGTGATCGCGGCCGCGCG